ATATATATATATATATATATATATATCAAGGGCGTAGTGGAGGGGTATTCAGGAATTAGTCTAATACTTTCAAAATTTCAAAAAGATTTTTTTTTTATGCTCTCTTTATTTTGACAAATTAACGAAAACACAGCGACATTTGGTATTATTATTTCAAAAAATTAACGAAAACAGCGAAATGTAGTATTATTACGCAGATTTTACATTATAAGTGACACAATTTGCATTCCATAGGAGAGGTATTCAACTTGCCAAATAACGTTTACTCTTTGATAATATCTCATTTCGTCAAAAGAACATATATGAGGTAGGCGGATCGGCGAGAAAAGTTTTAACATTGCGAAAATAGCGATGATGGTACTAAAAAGTGCTAGGAATATGAAAAGCATCTAGCAACATGAATTTTTTGATTGGTTTTTTGAAATCCAATTGTCAGCAAATGGCTGGGGCAGTTTTCAGCAAACAAGGTCTTTAATTATCTATTATTTTGGTATTTCCAGTAGGCTTACATTACTTTAATAAAATTTTAATTATAGGTTTAGATTAAGGCATGTTTTAATAAACTTTCAATATAGGAAATGAATACCATATATACACTTTAGAAACACTTTATTGGAGAAAACCAATACATGGTATTCGTTTCCTATATTCTTTTATTATCGTATTATCGTACCGAAACACACGTGGAATATAAATGCCTATACCAGTACCAATATATATTAGTGATTGCTTTTTATTCTTACCATCATAAAGACATAAGCCATGGATATGAGTAGAGTTGCGATTCCAACGATGTTTATTCTGGCTCCGATACAGAATGCCAGGCAACATGCTGTAAACGTCGTCATCACAAGATCCAAAACAAATATAAAGAAGTTCTCAGCTTCCGGGGCGAATCCTGAAGAATGATGATGTCAATAGCATTATAATCATCCTCATCTTTCTCCTCCTTCTCAACAATACCATGATCATCGTCATAATCATCATCATCATATTCATCATCATCATCCTCGTCGTCATCATCATCATTATAAGTCATGTTTATCATCATCACCGTCATCAACATCATCGTCATACTGAATAATATAGGCCTATCATGATCCTCATTATCATCTTCATTATTATGATTATTTTCATCATCATCGTCGCATTATCAATCTTAACATCGTCATATAACATTCATTCAATCCACCATTATAAAAATCGACATGATCATATAATCATAATCGTCATCATCATCATTAACATCACCACCCCCACCGTCACCAGCACCATCATCATCATCATCATCATCATCATCATCATCATCCTCATCATATTAATATTGTCATATTATTGCACAAGAGCACTAAAATTGGTATTCGATCTCATCTCACTTAGTAGTAGCACTCAAGTACACCGGCTGTAGTAAGCATAAGTGATAGCAGCATAAGTAGCAATAAACGTTAATAATATGTATTACTCATAAAAGTACATTGACATACCTATCATCCAGTAAGTAATGGAGGAAAAAACAAGCGTTGGAAGAACTCGCATAGGAATCAGATCGCAGAACACTTTTGCAAAAAAGTAGCATGATACTCGATAAAAGCCACTTGCAGATTCGTGACTAGGATAAAAGACAAAATACAAACGTGACATGATTAATGGAATGCAGTCATTAAATTTAAAGTAATCTCTTCAGACAGTCGCAAAGTCATAACAGATAGTAATGTATGTACGGTATACTGTATGTGTGTGTGTGGGGGTGTGTATGTATATTATTTATATAAATGAATATTGATGTATTTCCATACCGGAAAATGACTCTTTCGCGGATGAAGACTTCAACGGCTCCAAGATTTCCAAAGATCATATTCATTATAAGGAAGAAAAAAGCACCCACTCTGAAAGATAAAAGGTACAATAAAACATGATTCGTTAAAAACTAAACCTAATGAGGATGGTTCATTTAGAGCTATTGATAATAATTCTGGGGACCTCCAAGTTACCCCCTTATAAAGCTTGAGAATATGAGCTGGTTCTTGTTAAAGGTAAGCAAGGTATAGGAAAAGTAGGAAATTAATCCGTAACCCACAGCGGCTCTATTGCGCATACTCTGAATGGACCTTTCCTCTAAGCCCCGCCCTTGGATATTGTTGCTAAGGTCCCACAAAAATTGTTAGACACGCGCGAATTCCTGGCCCTGTTTTGGTTGGTCAGTTGTTAAGTTTGATTGACACTCCAGCAAAGATGCGTACGGATGGTCAATCAACAGGTAGTTTTCAGCGGACGACGTTAACGTTAACTTTGAAGTCGTCCGCCGAAAACGACCTAATATCAGGTGTAAGGATTAGCTCAGTATTCAAATCCTTTCAAAAAGACAGGGGATGAATTGAACGAGGGACTCTACAGAAGATGCACTGGGTTCAGTAAAGTAGCCCTACACACCTGTCAGATATGTATATAATTACTGGAAATTATCCCTTTTGAATTTGTATATGACGCCGATATTCTTTGATATTGCTATAGGGCCTACATAAATTACAAATTTGCATTTTCCAATTATTATGTCATCAATATAAATAGGCCTACCTAGTAATTTTATAGAATGATACAACTTACAGTAGTTAATTTCCATAACATTAAATACTAGGGTATGTTTCCATGTAAAGCTTGTAAAGTCTATTGGATACCATAAATATTAATCTTTCACTGTTTCAGACAATTTCTGGATTTCTGGAGAGCTTAGGCCTATTTGAGTAAACCCACTTAAAACATTTCATTTCTTTTCATTTATTTGTCTCAAAGAATTAAAATGTACATAAACAGAAACGGCACAGAACAATCACAAAGTGCAAAAAAAAAGAAAAAAAGAAGAGACAGGACACTCCAAAAGTAAAATCAATCACTGTCGAGTGGAGGCTCTTCACGAGAAAAACACAAATACTTACAATATAAAATTCTTCAAAAAGATAAAAAAATCGAAAGATAAATATCAAAAAACATCAAATGACGTTATTAGCATTTACGTGTATGGAATAAAATTATATTCTAAATGGAAGCCGAGTGTCCCAAAACTCCATCTTATGTTCTTTAGATCGTTCCGATTCAGTCATTTTGTAAAAATGATTAATAAATAATGGCAATTTCTTCCAAATTGTGAATTTATAATGGGCACACATTCAAGAAGAATACTTATGGCGCCAAATTGTATGAGGCAGACTATAACCTCAAATTGACACACATTTTAAATAAAATTTAATACTGTAGGCTATAATTTCATCCGTTTATACTTCGCTTTAAAAACACGTTGGCGAGAAAGAGATTTGTAATAAATCATTCCGTAGTTTCACGCGCGCAATGAATTACTGTATTGGTGATGTCAAATGCCAATGTTTAAAAAAACAAATTAAATTTATTTTTAACTGATACGTTTAGCTAATAAAACAAGCAACTGTATATATTATGAAGTCAGGTAAAACGCTCTATAATGCCGACTAGAGGACGTGATACTGTAAGTCACTGCGCGCGTGAAAATACGAGACAGCTTAATGTACTTCATAGCGCTTAAATCATATGTTATTTGCATTACATGTAAGTTTACAAACTTTGTGTGGGTTTCAGTGCAGTCGCTGTACAGCATAGCAGTCGCCGACGCAATCGGGACGGCTCCCCGATTTGACCGACCAATCACCGAAAGCTGTCGGTATTAGCGTGTAGCAATTGTATGGAAACCAAGCTTACGTGACTATCATCACGTCTATAACCATTTAACCGGAAGCAACTTGCCGTTTCTAACGCATTAAACTCCCGTTTGAAAGTGGTTATATCAAAAACATCTTGTTGGGGACATGTGAAAAAAAAGAATCTTTATTACCATCTTTAATAATCACCAGTACAGGTGTTTCTCTATACCAAACATGTGATTAAACAACGTGGCACGTACCTATTTTGAATTCCTGCTGATGAAGAATTATCTAGCTGGAAGTAGATGCCACCAACGATTAGACCAAATATTACCATTGTAAACAACTGAAAAAAACCAAATGTAAAGTTCTGTTTACACTATCAAATCTGTGTGATGCGCCCATACATGGGCATGATGATGTCATATTAAACTCAAATATGGACACATTTATTTGTCACATAAAATTCTATAGTGTGGACAATGTTTAAGAAACAAATGGACACAATTATTTCTCACATAAAATTTCGTAGAGTGGACAATGCTTAAGAAACAAATATGGACACAATTATTTGTCACATAAAATATCATAGTGTGGACAATACTTAAGAAACAAATATGGACACAATTATTTGTCACATAAAATTTCATAATGTGGACAATGCTTAAGGAACAAATATGGACAACTTTACTAACTTTTTAAACCACATTTTAGGAGTCTAGCACACTTTTTAACATTTTAAAGCATTTTTTAGCATTTAAAACATTAATCTCTTAATTGATGCAGCAAACAATCCGGCTTTCTAAATGTTTTTTGATTGTTTGTTAATATTGTGTTTATCCGTCTTTCTTTGATAACTTTTAAACCACATTTTAAAGAGACAAGCAGCATTTTAGCATTTTACAGGGTTTTTTTTAAGCATTTGTTTTACCTTTTTAACAAAAATTGTAACCGATTCAGCAAATTTTGCTTTTAAAATGCTTTTATCTTCTTAATGTTTGTTGTGATGAGTTGCCACTGTTACAAAAGTGCAGCTTCAATAAATTATTATTATTATTATTATTATTATTATTATTATTATTATTATTATTATTATTACTATTATTATTATTATTATTATTATTATTATTATAATTATTATTATTATATTACACATATTTTGTCAAATAAAATTCTATAATATGGACAATACTTAGGAAACAAATTCTACCTGAATCGTTGATGCTGCCGGATTCCGTATTACGTTCAAGACTGATCGTTTAGATACGACAGCGAGCTGTGAAGTGATAGAAGTAATATGATAGTAGTATATAAACATAATATTGTTAATGTTATTGCTACTGATATTGATAGCAATATTGATAGGCCTATATTGTTATTAATACTATTAATGGAATTGTCATTGATATGTTATTGATAAAAGTAACAGTTGGTAATATCATTAGTATTGATATTGTTTGAAGGTTATCATGGCGAAGGATTAATATATTGAATGCTTTCAGTATACCACGTAGTTTTTGACAATTTGATTGAGTTGCTTCAATCGTCATCAAGAGAATTTTATCTGCAGAAAGTATAGACTTGCAAGCATTTAATATATGATATTGTTATTGATATGGTAATGGTATTGGTATCAATATTGGTATTGATCATACACGCTTATCACAAATGTGTTCTATTGAACAAAGGTTAGAAGCAAAACATACCAAGATACACCGTACTTGTGTTTGATTTTCACATTCTCATGTCTACAAAATATTTTTTTTTTAAATTTAATTTCTTTTCATGCATGAGGGATCAAGCATATGTGTTGTAATATAATATCTAGATTTCATACAAATATGATTATTTACCTGTGTCATGAATGAGGTTTGGTATTGAAGTCTTTTTGCCAAAACTTCCTCTGTGCCTTTAAAGTTTTGCCATATTGTGCCAAGTTCTTCGTCCAAATTGCGTTGATATGTAGACTCCCTAAACATATCAGCCAAGGAGGTACCGTCTTCCCTAACAAGGGCATTGTTTTCTTTTGGGGAAAAAAGAATCAAAATAGAATGGTATCACATTAAACCTGATTTCCATAAAATAGCTACAGTACACTGCCTCTACAGTGTTTTCAACGCTGCTGGTTGCATGCCTAAAGCCGGGCACTCACTGCGCACGACGGTCGTCTGCCGACGCGATTCATGAAGAAGCAACGCGACGACGCGCGCAACGGATCGTTGTTAATGACGACCCGTTCAGACTGCCACCGACAATCAGCAGACGGCTTTGCGTCATCTTGATCACAGAGAACGCAGTTGGATTCGTCGTGCGACGGTTACGACGCAGTGAGTGCCCGGCTAAACTGTTTTTGACGCAATATATCTGGAATGCTCCCAATGGACCTTTCCGCTAAGCCCCGCCCCTTGGATATTGTTGCTAAGGTCCCACAAAATGATAGGTAAATGTACGCACACACGTGTGTTTATGGGACAACATGTATGTTTGTGAAAAAAGCGCGTACCGTTCTGTGATGTGTCAGTTGTTAAGTTCGATTTACTTTCGTCGCTATAGCGTGTAGCATTTTAAGGAAACAAAGCTTTAATATAAAGTTGCTTTAGTAGAGTTTCGTGAGCACTAGTTGCTACAGTCGTGCGTGTAGTGACGTAAGTGAACGACTCTAGTATCCGTTGTATCAGAGCCAATCGCAAGACAGATTTTAGTACTGTATTAACAAAATTATTTAAAGAAGATTGAATTATTTAGATATAAGTGTATGAAAGGGCCACTTTAAATGTCTCTTCAGAAAGTAATGTCACGTTCGCAATATTTTACTAACACAGCTAATTCAAAAGGTTTCGGAAAAAAAATTATTTATATTAACCAGCGGGATCATTTACAAAGAGAAAAAAAACCAACTCGATCTCAGTAATAATATAGTTAAACCATAATGGGATAAGTAGGTTTTTTGAATTATAGCCTAGAGGCCGAAGAATTGGACATCATATTTATTTATGAAAAGTGGTGATATATTCACCCGTTACTGCGGTTAAATATTATAAATGTCATAAGTAAATAAAATTGTGTCGCCACTTACCTGTGTCATCTTGGCCATTTTGGTCTGGATCAGTATTTAATGCGGCGCTATCACCATTAATTACATCCAGGAAAAAATCAGGAGGATTGTTGTGCGACTCGCATTCATAACCTTTTGCGTAAAGTAATGATTAGTGAATATCCGTAGATTATTAGTTTATCCAGAGTAAAGATGAAACTTATTACTTTTCTTTCTAACGCAAGAGGTCTCACTTTGATAAAATTGCTATAACAAAACGAACATTATGTACGCTAAAATGGATACTACCGAGACTAGACCTAGCCTATGTCATGACTTCACAGTATGTAAAATATTCCATAGAGGAGCGTGTCTCTGCCCATGTGTCCCTCTGTTTGACCACCCGTCCATCCATCCTTCCATTTAAACATCCATAACATCCATCTATCTGTTGTTCTTTCTTTCAAGTTCAAGTTCAATTTATTGTCATATACAAAGTAAATGAAATTAGTTTTTCAAGGTTCACAATAAAAACAATTCATTTATTTATTATTAATGATAATAAGTTATACGTATATAGCGCCCGAAAATGCAAAGCTTCAATGCGCTTTACAACCACATACCCTCTCACACAAACACTAAAGGAGCAAAGAAGTGAGAGAAGAAGAGGGCAGTAAAAGAAAAACATGAGTTTTGACGAAAGCCTTGATGTTCTCTAGTGTGGAGGCTTGCTTGATATGTTCAGGCAATTCACTCAACAGAGTGGAAGAAGGGAAGGAATTCACCCATTCGTTCGTTTGTTCATTCATTCATCCATTCATTCATTTTCTTCTGTTACCTTTTTTGAGCACTGATTTTGAGCACTGCAACACTGATTGTCCTGCTTGAATCACTTTATATGTATGCTATTGGTCATCCTATCATTTATTTAAAAAATCTATAGAGTAAACTTTTGTCTCACCTATGCTTTTAAAATATTCCAGCGCTTCCTTAGCAGGTCCATGAAAAACTGTTTCGCCGGTGTCAAGAAGATGTAGTTTATCAAATAATCGGTAAATTGAGTATCGCGGCTGGTGAATAGAAAATATAACAGTTCGACCTCTTCTTGATAATCTAAAAGTAAATTTTCAAATAATACAGGTAATTTCCCATGATGATATTAATTAAGGTTGCAAATAACAATAATCGGTTTAGTGATTATTGTAATAATCATGACCATGACAATAACAGTATATTTAATTAACATCATTTATTTCGTCTAAAGAACATTAAAACCGATAAACACAAAATAACAGAGAGGAAAAAGCAACGCTCAATTGGCCTCAATTTTGGACAGGATTGCCAAAAAAGTGAAATGAATCAATGTCTAGTGGCTATCCGATGCCAATGAGAATATAAATTAAATTAGCATAAAATAGTCAAGTAAAATCTCATTAAAATATATATAAACATATATAAATAATATTATAATAATAATAATTAGAAAATCGTATATTATATATTATTATTCAAATTATTCGAATCAATATATTGTTATTATTATTATTATCATTATTATGATTACTAAATAATAAACATTTTAGATATTTACTATAACCATTGTAATTAATTATTTATTTATTTTACTTTCATCATATTTAACGAGGATATTATTATTGTCATCTGTGGCGATCTGCCGATAGTACCCTTAATGGGCTTGACTCTTTCACCTGTCAGAGAGAAATTCTGTTGGGTGACAGATGACCTGTCCAATAGTGTAGGAATTTAGTCCAGGGAAGTGATACCCCATGCTGAGAATTGAGCCAACGCCCAAAAAGGATATAAGTGGAAATAGTGGGAAGAGAGAGGGAGTTGATTCTGGGTAGAAGTCAGGCTTGGTTGTACTGTACCTAGGCTATCCTGACTATTGTTCAACTCACAGTGAGAAAGGAATAAAACAATGATGTGGAACAAAAATTGCTGTCCAGATTGTTTGATTCAGTGAATGAAGCACTACATCGTTACATGGTGGCAGCGGTGTTTGTATCGACAAAGCCATAGGCACCTAAAAACAGGTCATCGAAACGCTACCAAACGTCCGTTCATTTCTGGGATTGGCTAACTATTACAGAAAATTTATCCCCGATTTCGCAAAGATTGCACTTCCCCTTACGGAATCTACCAGAAAATCTGCCCCAAACGTAGTGGAATGGACGGAAGAAAAAGAAATGTCATTCCAAAAATTGGAAACCAAATTGATGTGTTCACCAGTTTTGATCAGTCCGAATTTTGAAAAAGAATTTATTTTACAGTGTGATGCGAGTAACAGAGCGTTGGGTGCAGTGTTAACCCAAAAAGACGAAAACGGCAATGAACATTGTCATTATCAACATTATTATTACTAACACATCATCATCATCTCCACCACCATCATTATTATTATTTCTATTGTAATTTCATTATTAATATAATACATTAATTTAATAATAATAACACTCAAGCTAGATGAACTTACCTTGAGAGAAGAATCATTACAGAATTAGCTGTACTAGCATCCAGTCCCGTCGTCGGCTCGTCCAAAAACAGAACCCCAGGCTTGGTTATCAACTCCATTCCAATATTCGTACGTTTCCTCTCGCCACCAGAAACACCTCGAATAAATTCAGTTCCAACCTTTAAAAACAGCACAGAAATGTGCATAGTTTATTAATGCAATATTAAGACATCAATGTAAAGGGTGTAAGCTGAGTTCGGCCTTGGAACTAAATCTCTGTTACAATGAAACCTCAGGCATTTTTATTTTACAACCCATTTTTTCGGTTTTTTTAAAAATATGAAATAGGCCTAGGTCTAATATCAATAATATAGATGATAATTATGTCCATAGTGCCATAGATTTATAGAAATTAATACTGACAATAGCCCTACGTTGTAAACTAAAATACATATGAAGTAAAATACAATAGCGTATACAAAGTAAACTTTGTTAGACATTGTTTTAATTTACGTTAAAAAATGTAGGTAAACAGTAGTGTATCTGTGTCTGTATGAGTCGGTTGTTGAGGTGGTGGAGGTGATAGTGGGGTGACAGGTTATCATTTTACACTAGAGTACCTTCGTATCAGCACATTTAGTTAGCCCTAGTTCCGCAACAATGTCATCGACTCTTTGCGCTCTTTCTTCTTTTGTGACTCGTTTGGAAAGTCGAAGTGAAGCAGAGAAAGCAAAGTTTTCTCGGACTGTTAAAGTTCCCATAACAACGTCATCCTGTCGGGCGTACAGTGAAAGGAAATAACAAACTGTTTGTTAGTGTCTACAACAAACATTACACGTCCAGGTACAATTGTTAACTATGAAGTTTTCAAAACAACATCCCGTCGACGTTAAACAATAATATAAAGTATGCAAAATTGAAGGCCGGTGCCTACAAATGTTACATTGATTAATATTGATTAGCTATTGGATACTAATTGAAAAAAAAAACAATCATTTAATTCTGTTCTGGCAACCAGTTCTTTCCATCTCCATCTTCTGTCTTTCGTAGTGTCTCGCTCAGCCATATCATTTAATCATTACTCGTACTCATCATTTAATCATTTGATCATTTAATTAATTAATTGTAAAAGGTATTACCTGTACAACATATCCAGACACGAGGCGAAAATCATTAGGTCTAGTGGCACCATCTATGAGAACATATCCCGTCAAACCCTTCGGGTCCTTACGTGCTGCTAGCACGTCCAGCAATCTGGTGGTTAGTGGATAAAATATAAGATAAAGAAAAAGCAAGGCACCTAAAACCGGTTACTCACTGCGTGCGACGGCGACGCGTCGGCAACGCGACGAAGAACGCACGCGAAGACGCGAACCAAACTGATCGTCTTTTTAATGAGGACTTCCGTTCAGATTGCCACTGACAATCAGCAGACGGCGTTGCGTCGTCTAACGCTCGCCGGAAGCGAATGTGGATTCGTCGTGCGACGGTCGTACGACGCAGTGAGTGTCCGGCTTAATGTATATGTCACTGCTTCGTGGCGAATTCGAATATGATTAGAAGAAGTCATTAACTCTTTTGCAAATTCATGACCTTTAACACGTATTTTGGTCTCTAACTAGAAAAAATAATTTCATGAAGATAAAAGAAAGGCATTCATCCAGAGCTGCAGAAAGTGGTATTTAATTGGATGTGGTCCATAATTTGAGGGTCCATAACTGGAAGGATCTTTAAATAGAGGAATCCATCAGTAGATTTGATTTGTGAAAAAAAGCGCTTGACTATAAAAGTGTTATAATTATTTTGCATGTGATAACCATTGCCACTGACTTCCGGGAGACAATTGATAATACAGTAAAAAACTTGTAAAAACATGCAAATATCGTGAATTTGGAGACACTTTATTTTCCAGTAGATTCTTGCTTGCTCTCGGGCCGCCGATTTCCATGAGACTCCACACCGGGACACTGCAGGAGACTTGGGCCTCTGCACTAAATGTGGTCTTTATATTTCTCTATTTAGAGGAAAGTTAAGAAAATATATTAAATGTTTTAAAATGGATGTATAGTTACTGCATTCCGGTCATTATTCTTTAAAAAACATTTCATAATAGCCAGATATCACCAAGTCCTCATTCCACCCAACCTTTCATTAAAATATTAATTACTAATATCGTCACTAACATTATCGTTATTCAATATATGCCTACAGTATACCAGAGAACAGTGTAATTCACTGTTCCCTGAGTATACAAAACACTTAACTGTACTATATACAATAAACGTCATTGTATGATGTGCATTGGCTAATATTTTCATGTGTAAGTCATATATAACCAAATTCATTATATAAAAAAATGCATTAACATCACTATATATTTTACAGACTAGGCTTAGTGGTCTTTAATTGAAGGGAAACGTTTTAGTTGAGTCTGCTAAAACTATGGTCTTCGGTCTGTAAATAGATGCAGTCATTAATTGGAGGGAACAGCTAATGATAAAAGACAGGCATTCAACGGGGGTCACGGAAAAGTGGTCTGAAGCTTGTTTTCCACTAGGCGAATTTATTCGCGCGAATCGAAGGCGTCGGTTCGGTTCCTGAGCTCTGATTGGTTGCGCACTTTTTTCGCTTCGCAAAAAGTAGAAACAATTCGAACTACCGATTTCGCTGAAGCAAAAAATCTCCCGATAGAAATGTGAAACCGACGCTTCCGACTCGTGTGAATAAAAGGTCAAAAAAAGGTTTTAAAGGGTCTTTTTGAAGCCTCGTGCTACCTTCCTCGTACCTAATTAAGAAGGCATCAGGAGATGGTATCACAGCTAGACCTCAAAACAATTACAGAATTATGCTTCGATACTCACGAAGTCTTTCCACTACCGGTAGGTCCAAGAATGGCATTCATTCCATTTGGAAACACGCCACTGAAAATTAAAATAACAGTTACAATAAAAAGTGTGTAAGCCTGGATAAAATAATTATATACTGTTTAATTAAAAGCGATTAATCAAGACAATTATTTCCTGAGGCTTCATAAAATTTAGGTCTCGTAAATGACGAAAATATTTTGTCAGCCTTCTTATTAATTCCTTTCCTTCATTAATCTCATTGTAACTACTAGATAGTAATTATATAATATATAAATGTGGGTAACGATCATTTTCATTTAGGCATTGTCGTGACAGTTATTGAAGGGATGTTTAGCATACTTATGATCGTTATCATCATCATCCACATTATCATCGTCATTAACATCATCGTCATTAAAATCATCATCATGGTTTTTGTCGTCGTCATCGTCATCCTTATCACTACAGTTTTTTTTAAAATCATCATTATTCTTTATTCTTTATTTCAAAAGCCACATCCAACAGCAGCCAAATGCCAAACAGGATGCCTTAAAATCTGGTTACATACACATAAATATAAAAGATTTAAATAGAAGAACGCACACACACACACACAAACAAGTCACAACAACAATAACATAACAATCAAAACAAAAATCTCATCCCCAGCCCAAGCAGATCAGTAAAGTAAATGTATGCAAATGTATAAACTGGTTTTAAATGAACTTAAGCTTTGATGGAATAAGTCGATAGTAGGATCTTGTAACAATGTATTATAAGCAAGAGCTAAACGAAGAATGAAACCATTTTCTGTGCTTAACTGTTGTAAACGGAACAAGAGATAAATCTTTAGAACGAGAATTTAGTCGATTAATTATCATTATAATGGCCCTATTATTGTTATGGATCGACTGTGTTTACCTTATGTTTGTAAGGATTTCTTTCTGCTGCCGTTGTCCATCCACTTTGACTGGCACAGCATAGTTAATGTTGTGGAAGGATATGGTAGATCCGCGTACAGAAAGCGAGCGTTGATGAGATAATGGTCGATGGTGATTTCTACCATTTTGCTGGCTTTCAGCTACGGAACCGTACGATCTGCTATCCCCAGAAAGGGTCAGGTTGTCCTGGAATACAAACTCCGTGAGATGATGTCTATTTTTGGTAATAAATTCAACTACAGGAGTCACACAGCTCGTGTCTCTGATCTACTTTGCATTTTTGTATTCAGTACCGCAGATGACCTATAACCAGGGCCGGGTCCAGAGATGTCCGAAGGGGAGAGGGAGAAAGGGGGGGGGGACCGAGAGACAACACTACCCTAGGGGGTCCGGGGGCCACCCTAATCCGAAAAATGTTTGTATTCTAGACGCCCGGAAATAACCTCTTTAGGCGATTGGGGCGATCAATAATAATTTATTTTTCTTTCCTTTTCTTTTTTTTTACTTAAAACAAAAAAAAAAAGGTGGGGGCGGCTCGTTCTTCCCCACCCCTACCAAAAAAAAAAAAAATCCGCCCCTGAATGGATGCGCCAGGATTTGGCCTGACGAGAGGGACCATGTTTTCTGCTTAAGCGAGGTGCCTAAAGCCCCTCGGAGTGGGTCCTGGAGGTGCCGGGAAAGCTTTGAGATAATTTAGGACTTTAAAGGCTATTTAAACTTAGTTTAACACCCCCGCCCCACAACTCTACCTGTCTCTTATACACATCTAGATGTGTATAAGAGACAGACCCTAGGGGGTCTGGGGGGCCACCCTAACCCAAAAAATGTTTGTATTCTAGACGCCCGGAAATAACCTCTTTAGGCGTTTGGGGCGATCAATAATAATTTATTTTTCTTTCCTTTTCTTTTTTTTACTTAAAACAAAAAAAAAGGTGGGGGAGGCTCGTTCTTCCCCACCCCTACCAAAAAAAAAAAATCCGCCCCTGACTGGATGCGCCAGGATTTGGCCTGACGAGAGGGACCATGTTTTCTGCTTAAGCGAGGTGCCTAAAGCCCCTCGGAGTGGGTCCTGGAGGTGCCGGGAAAGCTTTGAGATAATTTAGGACTTTAAAGGCTATTTAAACTTAGTTTAACACCCCCGCCCCACAACTCTACGCCACAGACGCGACCCCTGGCCTATAAATAATTTCATAGTCAAAATCACATAAATCACAGACACTCAGAATGTAAGGAATTATACAGATATACAGGGTTATCACTAAAATTAATAACGTTACATGGCTCAGGAGCAGGAATGTGCGGGACATTTCCCAGGGTACAAAACACTTGCAGAGTCATGAAGGTTCACTTTCATCACATTACAATAGCATTTATAAAGCAATGTAAAGTGCATCTAATTTAATAGGCCTATCGGGTTATAAACTACTAACATATTATATTATTTCAATAAAACGTCAATCATTTTCTCATAGAAATATTTGTCTACTAATTTATGTAAGTTCAATTTAATTTAGCAATATTATGATATTATGTAAGCTCTGTAATATTGCATGCAATTAAAGCGTGGTGTTGACATACGGTTACTGTTTGGCTACTAATAACACTGTGTCTGTATACATGGATGCAAAGGTTACCGGCACCAGTCCAAAGTTCACAAGTTACATAAGTTTACATAAGGCCGCTTCATGGTGGTCGTTCTAAAAACAAATCTGAAAATTAGCCTTATATAAGCCTATTTGTCCAATGCAAGGGTGTCGATCCGTTGTGGATAGTGGGGCTAATGGAAAGAAAAGAAGCCTTGGGTCGCAGGCCCAAGCCTTGGCTGGGGACCAATGGGACGCCCAGGGCTCCCGGTGGGGTCCAGGGGGCGAAGCCCTCGGAAACGCTGGCGTCTATAGCCTTTTATAATTCATATCTAATTAATTTTAAGGAATGCAATTAAAATTTATTTCAACACTACATTTTCAAAATATTGTGGCGAATCCAGGAATTCGATATAGAGGGGCCCAGGGAGGGACTTTTACAAATTGAGTGTAGACCATCTCAGCCCCACCATGGTTGGGAGTGAGGTAAGAAAATCTATGATTATGGCACCTTTAGTTGGCCGGACACGGCTCTCTTAGACTGAAATTTGAATATAGTTTTCTTTTTTTCTCCACTTTTAAATTTTGAAAAAATTAGGGAGGGTGGGCCGACTGGGCCGCCTTTAATCTGCCACTCTTCATAAAATGTTTTTCAATTTATCCTGGTAATAATAATAATAATAATAATAATAATAATAAGATCCAATGAATTTATTCAATAATAATAATAATAATAATAATAATAATAATAATAATAATAATAATAATAATAATAATAATCATGCCCGCTTACCGTATATATTTACAAACTAACATTCATAAAACATAATCTGATTAGCTTGTGACGTATTCGAACCATGAAAAACAAATAAGATAAACCATGGAGGAAATATATATAAACCATGTTCCTTCATGAATAAACATCAAACAGGCACTCTAATTCTATACTCTCTTTGTATGTACAGTACTTTAAATCAATTTTTACTTTTCTCCTCTTTTTGAATATCCTTTTTGCGCAAGTAGTATTGTGACTACACTAATGTGAGTGGAAATACTACGGTCTAACTTACAATCAAACAGGATTACAAAGAATCAGGAAGCACACAAAACATTAGTTGCATTTTTATTTCACAAACATAAAGGTGATTTGCTTATGGCGTCATGGCGAGATTGCGTCAACGTAACACCGGAGTAAACTTGTGGGGCCACTACTTAAATAAGTCGAACTTGATAGACCGATCCGTTTCAAAGGCGGCTTAATTATTGTTTTAAAACGGCTATATAAAATTCAATTGAATAACTATAATTTTTTTAAATTACGAAAAAATGGAATCTGTTATGCAGATAATAGGCCTACTAAACTCTAGTATATACGGGTCTTAATAATATACAAACGCAATAAATCGTTTATAGTAGAAACTGTGCATTTTTGATTTTGTAAAAATGTTGTCCTAATAGGTTTACATTTCCAATTTTAACAACGTACTATACATTGTTTTCATTATAAATTTAGCCTCTGATAACCGCGGTAACCATAATCTCGATGGAGTGGTTACTGTAATGATTATGAAAAGTACAAACAATTGCCTGTTTACTCGGTTTTGGTCTGGAAATTCGCTCCGTACAGACAAAATTCATAGTTGTTCTTTCCACTCGCTTTGAAAAGTGGGGTTTTAACTTTAGAAAACTGGTGAAAAGTAGTGGTGGGGACAATTGATATGACTTTGAAAAGTGGGGATGGGGGACGTGGACCTCTCTCCTCCCACCGATCGACGCCCATAGTCCAGTGTAAGGGGTGTCCACATTCTCTGTTTTTTAAAACATAATAATTGTAGCTTTGTATAATTGCATCTAAAGTTCAAGAGTCTATCATTTTAACATGTTTGATTCAGCAATAAAGAGCACTTATATTTCTTATCTTTAGTCTTAAAGTGATTTCGACTTATATAAACGACTCGATAGGCCTAACTGGATATTTGAAATGGCATGGTATGTAGTTTTACTGTCATTTTAAATATAGAGAAAAATGTTACTATATATAATTTGCGATGAGTAAAAGAAAAATATTATCAATCAAAAATATATTTTCTCAGATAATAATATAAAAGTCAACTAATAAAGCTAAGTTATGGAGTTAAGATTTTTTAAATAACATGATGTCAGAAAATCAGCCCAAAAGCTTATCTATTTCTGTTGGTTATGCACCGCTGATTCGCAATGTTTGTCATCACTTCAAGAGATGTTTACCGATTCGTAGAAAAGGCTTCATTCAAATTAATTTTACCAGAATGTAACAACATGGTAACTGAGTATAACACATAGCCTAATAGGCCTAAAAATTCAAAACCTGTTTTAAATGTGGTCCTCCCAAGTACCTTTTTAATATTATTTTTAGCATATAGAGTGTGACCCTTCCAGCTTAGAAGCTGATATTCAGAAACAAAATCGAAGTAATAATGAGTTGCGTCATAAACTAAGTCTCATACGCCTACTAGGCTTAGGTAGTGTAGATGTTTTTTGATCGTGAGAAGATGTCTACCGATTCGTGAAAAAGGCCTTGTAGACCTACTGTATGACTATTTACAAACGATTAAACACTAATTCAATGCATCAAATCCCTGGTGCAACACACTATATACTATAAACTCACCCTTTCTCCGTCTGACATGTTAAAAACTTGTAAGATCGAGCGGCTGTAACCACAAAAATCTTCCTGACACTGGTCTACAATCCGCCGGAGGCCTACGTCACTTTATTATTTGAAATTAAGGCCTTCTTCAGGATGTAGCTAGGCTACTTCAAGCGGCGTAGTGTGTGTACATTGGAAAGAAGGACATTCTAGAATAGCCGAAACGGCGTTAACTATTAACCAAACGACCTTGGAAATTCTCGAGAATTACCAAAAGAAGCCCCTCTATAGTTTACAAAAGTAATCTCGAAAAGAAGCCCATCTAGAATGGAAGCCCATTCAAGGGTCCTGAAAAAAGAAGCCGACTATGGGCTTCTATCGAGGTTTTACGGTATTATGGAAGACGAAAATATATATAATATATATATATATATATATATATATATATATATATCATGTATATATGTATATATATGTTTTATGTATATATATAAATGCTATATGTACAACATATATATATATATTATATATATATGTATATATGTATATATATGTTTTATGTATATATATAAATGCTATATATACAACATATATATAATCGACATTTTAATAGAATATAATGAACATGGTGATTGGATAAATACTTATATTTTGTTTGTATATATATGTATATACGGTATATGTTTTATGTATATATATAAATGCTATATGTACAACATACATATATATATATATATATACACAACTCAATGAAAAAGACGATGAGATGTCAACGACTTGGTAGACTTAGAACACAAATTTTATACAAAACATGAATATTTCAACCCGTCCTTGGGTCTTTTTCAGCATGTGTGACAAACAAAATATAAGTTGGCTATTACAATAATTATGATAAAAAGTAAAGTATAAAATTTGTGTTCTAAGTCTACCAAGCCGTTGACATCTCATCGTCTTTTTCATTGAGTTACGTATCTAAGGAACACACGTGGGTCACATCATGCTCTCTCTCTCTCTCTCTCTCTCTCTCTCTCTCTCTCTCTCTCTCTCTATATATATATATATACTATATATATACTATATGTATATATATATGTATGTATATGTA